TAATCAAATTATGTATTTGAAAAATATGTAATTAAAGTACCCAAAGATTCACGCCGTCCAAATAATCATATGTATTAAAAATAATTTAGGTGCTTACCAAAGAGCAAAATTCAGTAATTTTTAAACGCACAAGTACAAAACAAACTACAACATATGCTCAAAATGTCTACCACCATTTTCGATGCACAAATTCAAAAACGTGATAAGCATTGTATTTTATATTATTAATTAATCCAACTTTTGTACATCAATTTGGAGATTTTGATAATTTTTTTCTCGGAAATGGTTAAGTTTAGGACACATTTCATATAAGGTTTTTTTGTTTATTTTAATGTATTCTATCGTCTGTTAAAATTAAAGCAGTCAAACTTCTAACACCTGTATCGATGCTCTATTTGAAATACAATTTTAAATATATTGTGACCATCAAAAAACAACTCCTATATAAATTAATGAATATATGAAGAGCGCCTAAAAAAAATATAATTTCTACGTAATTTTTTTTGGATTTGATAATTCATACATAATTTTTAATTGTATTTCGAACAGAAAATTAAATTCTCAGTCATTTTTGTGATACGATTAATTTTAGAGATATTTTAAATTTATTCAACTCAATGAAACTCCTTTTTAAACTTCAAAATAAAGTGAAATATTGCTTTTTTCTCAAAAAAAAGATACATATCCGCCAGTGATTCATATTGTTTACCTCGAAAAACAGTGGTTTTAGTGCCTTTTTTCAAAAACCAAGGACATCCTCAAGTTATAGCACTATGCCTAACTAATAATAAAGGACGTCTACAGAACTAAAAATATTTGATTTTACCATAATTATTTAAAAAGACATGACACAGCTACCTTATAATAAAAAAATTATAATATAATTATAATTTTTCATTCCTCAGTTTAAAAGATCTACATATAAAAAATCAAAATTTCTAAAAAAATTGTTATTGTAGGTGTGGTTTAAGTTATAATTTATTGATCAATAATGTTGTTAATATTTACAGAAAGTAACCATAATGACCCACTCCATTTTTACAATATACATCGCGTTAGCTAACAAATTATTTCATACCACCATAATAAATATTTAAATATTTCATTATCGATTTTATTCATGTTAATAGTAAAGGTAAATGTAGATAAAAAGAAAATCGAAAACTGTATCCAGGGTCACTATAAAATGTGAAGTGTTTTCTTGACATAGTGTTCGTTCTCCCTTAAAATATTTTACTGACTTACAAAATTAAGAAAAATTAAATATGAGATAGTTAAACTTCATCAATTTATCTTTTTAAATGTACCGACTTTAGGAAGCCCAAACTAACGAAAAAAAAAACAAAGAAAATTTGAATTCCTTCTACGGTTTTTTATTTAAAACAAGTCAGTTATTGGTATTTTAATTTGTTGCACTTATTTTTCCTGCAGCCTACTGAAATTCATACCTATCAGATATCTGCCGTATCTTATCACAACATAAAGTTTAATCCTTGCAAATGAATATTTATCCGGAATAAATAAACAACTTGGCTAAGCTGGAACACCCCATTTTTCGAAAAAGGTTGAGTTTTGAAATTTTAGACATCAATTTTTTTCGCAAATATTTCTAATTGAAAATTTTGGGACATATCCAAAAATCGCTAAAAAATAAATCATATTGCCTGACATTTATTTAATTACATATCCTCTATCAAACATTCAACTATAAATAGACTTCATTCTGAGTACCATATTAACGACAAAACTTCTGAAAATTACTGTCCAAAAACCATAACTAATTATAAAACTATACTTATTTGTCAGTACTAATCAAGAGAAGGACAGCGTAAAATGGATTACAAACGTCACAACACTGCTACTGCTTTAGTATTATATTCCAAAAGTAAATAAAGTATATTACGAGGGGATATAGAAAAATGTCTACCAAGCCGTAATGGAAATAATTGCTGAGGTCTCGATAATGAGAAGTTTTTCTACTTATGTGCCTTACTTGATTTGGATCACCAGAGTCTCATTCTCAATACAATGCACCAATTCACAAAGCAACTAAAATCCAATCCACGCTCCGCAACTGTAATTTCTCTACTATGAATGAACACCACCCGCGATACAATTGAAGTCTTTATTTGACTTTGTCTGACTTCTTTTTATTCCGAAATTTGAGGAAACGATGCTAGTAATGCCTATTTCAATGTCTTTTTTTTTCTACAATACATTAAAGTCATTGAAGAATAGATGACGCAAGTGCGTTAAAATTAAGAGAAATTTTGTTGAAAAATGATATAATCAAGAAAATCGTAAGTATTTTGTTTCAGTGTCAGGGAGGAAACTGTACTAACGTTTCTCGTGCAATGGAACAAAGTTAGACCTGGCAATTCATCACTTGTTAAGTTACACTGCAGGAGAAATAAGAAAGACTGTTTAAACATTCTACAAAAACTATAATAAGTATGTATATATGTATTATCAACAAGGTACATAATAAGAGATGGATGATTATGCTGTACAGATTTTAAATACCATACATATAGAAATTTGATTTTTCGAGTACATGTTTAAACATTTAGGGAATCGCCGAAATTTCCTCTTCAAGGATGTACCAGTTTTAAAATTGTGGTCTTCATCATAAATTTATCATGCCATTTCAAATTTACTAAATATTATTTTCACAAAATAACTGCGGAACCTAATAGGGAAAGACGTTTATTCTTATTAGAATGATGCTCGTGACATAATTACGACCAATAAAAAATGCATGCTTCATCCTAATTTTACATACTTAAACATTTTAAATAGTAATCATCCGTTTTAGGATAGCTATGGTGATCATTTAATTATTTATTACATTTTGGAGTTCTTTTAAAGAAAATAATATTCAGAAATGGTAAAATGGCACCTTATTGAATTTTATAAAAATGAACTGCTATTTTGAAATAAATGGGAAGTTATGATATATCCTACCTTTGACATTTGAAACACATAAGTTTTTTTTCCAAATTTCATAATGAAATCTGATTTTTAATCTTTTTTTTTCTAGGTAACACGTACATTTTTACAAAACGTAACAAACTCATTAACCAAACGATGCAAACAACCCTAACCAAAACGGAAATTCATATATGAACAATATAATATATTAGTTACTGTTTTTTTATTTATTTACACCATTTATATTCCAATACATGTACCTAAGTGTGCGCAAGTATAGTTTATTTCAATTAAAAAATGTTTGAAGGCAGTTACCTACTTTATTGAAACTTTCGGTATAATCAAGAGATAATCAATGATGTACCTACTCTTAGTTTCAAAAGTCATGACAATGTCATCATCATGCATGGCCATGGGAAACAGGCTGTCAAGCCATCATGTGTGCACTTTGTCCAAAATGATCCCGCGTGCTGTTTTCCTAGTACTTTGCAATTTACATTGCATCATTGCTGATATCTGTCAGCAGTGCTTATATTTGTTATTGTTAATTAAAGATTAAATCACTTCCTTATGACTTTTTCACAAATATTATAATTACAAAACTTCCATTATTGTTGAATTAACATAATATGAATATTTACATTTTCGTTCATAAGTGCAAATACTATATCAATCAGTGGCAAATTTTGCGGCACGCCAAAATTATGTCGTGAAGAATTATCAATATAAAAAAAGATACGGAACTGTAAGTATTTCTAACACAATTATGTAACAAATGCGTAAAAAGTGAATCACTTTAGTTATGGTAATACCACATGCAATAAATATTCACGCTAAGGAAAACAAACCAACTTGTAAGGAAAAAATGTCTATTTATTTTAGTTATGATGAATTAGACCACGGAAAAAAAACAAAATTATTTTTAAGTTAAATATACAGGGTGTTTTCTAAGTCCATATTATAACTTCAAGAAGTTGTTCCTTGGATTTTCTTAGACCAAAAAATCTTAATGAAGCAAGGATGTAGTTACTGATTTTCGAGATCGAGGTAGTTGAGATTTAAAAAAAAGTCACATTCGTTCATATATCTCTTTGGTTTGCTGCAACTAATAATTTATATAATCAAATACAAAAATTCTTTGATTTAGAAATGTGTTAATCAGTGACGGAGATACATGAGAATTTAATTTAAAAAGTGAGCTATTTTCAAGTTAATATTTTGTTTAAATCAAAATTCATCAAAAATCCAAAAAACATTGCCATAGAAATTATTGATGGAATATCACATGGTTTTAGAAAACACCCTGTATATATAAGGAGATACATCCGCAATTTGAAATTACATCAAGTGTAACATTCCAATATTTTTACTGTTGATAAAAAAAATAATGAACTGACTAATTATTACCTATGCCCATGTACTTAATTCAAATTTTTAGATGGATATATGCAATTGTTAATAAAAGTCTATATCTTACTAGAGAAATTAAAGTCATTGATTATTAATTTTTTTTCTGATAACATTAGAATTAAATTGAACCATTGACTTGAGAGATAGATTCTGTAAATAATATCTTTGAATGATGTAAAAAATAATAAACGGAAATACATTATAAATTTGCTCTAATTTCTTTTTTTTATACGTAGACTGAATATGCGGATTCTTGACATAAATATCAAGTGGAACAAAGAGTAGCCAGAAATGCAGTGAGAGGTACACCACATTTTAAACTGTTGCATCATGAACAATTTTTGCATAGTAAAAGTCAAAATTAGTTATAGTTTTTTTTCCAAATTATACCATAGGTTTTTTGTAAGTATTATTCAACTTACTTAAGATAACTAGACTACAATTAAGGAGCTAGATAATTATAATAATTTTTATGTACGATTGACACGTGCAGTTATTTGCAGTTTTATTTAATCAATCCGCATTTTATTCAAATTTGCTATTAGCTAAATTAATTATTATTGACACTGACACGCAATAATAATTGCAAAGTTTCGGTTAAATAATTTAGACGTTTGTAAAATAACTATATGTTTAACTGATTTCAAAAAGTTACTCACCATAGAAAACACCCCAGACAACGTCCATACTATAAGGGACACGTTAACACTGCCGGTGTTCTTCAGAACTCCCGAGGGTGAAACAAATATACCGGAACCAATGATACTGCCCACGATAACGGTGATCCCATTCAGCAGGGTCATCTTGGGCTTGAGGGTAATCTCATCGTCGGGCTTGCTGTCGCCCTCCATGGCTCGCGCTGTTCTGCAGGAGTCAACCACGTTGGGTGAAGTGTGAGTACGCCGTCGGCCGACTCCGACAACCCCGCGCTTGTTCCTGGTTGGAGCTTGCGGACGATCAATAGCTGGACCATTTCGTCTGCTCCTCGTCCACGCCGTGTGAACTTTAAGCGTCGAATCACGTGGTACCGAATTTCGGTAAGGGGTTAGAAACTGTTGGCCCACTATACAGGGTGATATGTAATCTGTCTCAAGAACTCCTCTGTCTCCTTCAAATTAGCAGATATTTTATGAGAAACCTCACTAAAAAGCACGGTAATTATTTACTTTAGTGGCACCACCTCCAATCTTCACAAAATTTTGTCTACCCCCCTATTTTCGATGGTGCTGAACACGAATCTGCAGTTTTTTTTGAGCGTTCGAACCCAGTTTTTGAGAAAAAAAAATTCAAAATTCTAACTTGATTATTTCAGATAACACTACATAGAACTCTGTATATTTTATGTAGCTTTCGGAACATCTGTAATAAACAATGAACATTGTTTAAGAAACACATTTTCCCAAATTTGAACTAAAAAAAATATGTATTTAATAAATAAAATTATAGTAACTTTATGTGGGTGTGGGATGAACAGAGTTGAATGAGAGTGGGGGAACTCAATGTTGTCATCACGAATTACAAATGACGGATTCAAACTACAAAATTTTTATTTATTAAATACATATCTTTTTACTTGAAATTTACGAAAATGTGTTTCGTGAACAATGTTAATTGTTCATAACAGATGTTCTGGAAAGCTTCATAAAATATACAGAGTTGTACGTAGTGTTATCTGAAATATCCAGGTTAGAATTTTGAAAAATTTTTTTCTCGAAAACTAGGTTCGACCGCACAAAAAAACTGCAGATTCGTGTTCAGCATCATCGAAAATAAGGGGGTAGACAAAATTTCGTGAAAATTGGAGGTGGTGCCACTAAAGTAAGTAATTACCAAAAGCACTTAGTAGAGATTGAGTAAAATACAATGAGATTTTACTGATTTCAGGGCATAAAAAACTGACGACACACTCTAAAGTTACATTTTCGAGACAAATTCAACTAGCAGATCAGATATTTTTAGTTATTGTGAAGTATGAAGTTAACCATTATTTTTATAACTGTAGGTAATCAAATTTGGTTGTATTCTACAAACTGTCGATGGCGAGCTTTCGATAGTTATTAGATCTAATTTAATTGTCATTTGACGATTAATAATACGTTCTCAAGGTAAGTGCAAATTATTTTTTTCTTAAGCTTACTAAGAAAGAAAACTAAACTACAGATAGTCTTTACGATTGATTTATTTCTGTATTTTAATATTACCCAATCAATCATGCACACATATACAGATTTAAATTTTAATGGCCTCTAATGAATTCATAAGGATTTTTAATGTAATTATTATTAATAATTAATAGAAAATCTTGCACGAAAAAAGCAGATAAATACAAAATAATAAAAGATACTTCACTTTAACTTATTGTACTTATCTTTTAAATCAAAATGTGTTTATTCTCAAAAATAAAATTAACGTATATTTATTATTATTATTTAGTATTTTTATGGTTTCTTTTGTCAGTGTGAGTTTTTGGTTTAAGCAAAACTAATTCCATTGAAAGGAAAGGCAGGCGTTGGAACTTTTAAATTGCTGGTAATGCTCAAACAACAAAAAATCATATGAATGTTATGAACAACAAATTATACTAGTGGTTATACTTACTCATAAAAATATTTTTTACGACACAGTTTCGAGAATTTAATATTAACGAAGTTACGTAAATTTAAATTTTTCCAAATTAATAATTTGCTATTATTTCAGTTAACCGTTTTTTCTATTTAGTACATTTATTGTTAGTAACAAAATGTATCTACAAAAAAAATCCTCAGAATATTGTAGCTCTAATAAACGTAAATGGTCCTTATTGTTTTTTTCAAAAATTAATCTTTAAAAAATCATTAGTCTTACAAAAAGTCTTCTTGTTCCAAGTCGATAGCTATTTCTGAAAACAAACAGAGTACAGATGTATTGTCTGTACAAATTTTGTTGAGATAGAATTCCAAGAAGACCCCTGCGTCAGTTTCTTGGAATTAACCGCATTCGGCACCCGAGGTAGAAAGACATTAGCGGCGTGGCGTTCACCGCAGCAGCTTGCAATACATACTGTGTTCTGCAGTTGCAAAGGTGTGTTTCTTCGTAAATATATCGTCCTGTGCATTTTCAGTATAATTTCTTATTAAAATAAATCAATGGAGAAGAAATAAAAATTGTATTAATGATGTAATAATTGTAATAATGAAAATATCAGTGAAGATCTACCTACCTAAATCGGTCGAAGCTGTTGGTATCGAAGTATTTGGATAAGGACGAAAATATCCCAACACCGTAATTTCATTTCCATCATCAGCTATTACAGGACTCGGAACATTTTTCTTCCTGTTAACTTTCCCAAAACGCAAAAAGTTTCGATCTTCCTAATTTTTTTTTTGTCATTGCTGGTAAATGTGGATATCTTTCATTAAATGTGTGGCATGTCCTGTTCAGAACCTTGTTACATTCGCCATAAATCAAAAATATGTTTAAAATATCACTATTCTAATAAATTATTCACTTCATCTATTTTTAGGAACACAGAAACGTCAGCAAGTCTTTTTTGGTGTTTTTACAGGGCACAGCATTTTGTTTTCATACTAACTATGAGTTTCTTACACGAAACATGATTTTTCGCATTTTAAACAGAAAAGTGGTGATAAATCGGAAACCATCAAGAATAACTATAGCAACCCTTGTATGTACAGATGTAGATTTTTCTAGAGAAATCAGAAATGCGATAATATACAGGGTGTTCCATTAAAAAAAATGAAAAGTTTCCTCGGGTTTGTCAATTAGTTTTCAGGACCCTGTATAAACCTGGCTAATTTTGAAAACATCATAAGGAACCCTTGACTTCTACTTTCATTAACCCAAAAATAAAGATTTCCGCGTGAATTTTTTAATCGCATTATCTTGAAAACGGCTAATTTTAAATTGGACAAGTTTATACAAAGTGCCCATAAAATTTAACGTAGAATCTAAAAATGCAATAATATACAGAGTGTTACATTTAAAATAACAAAGTTGGTGGCAATTTCCGGTATAAACGGAATTGCAACAGTTTTGAAAATATTTTTATTGAAAAGTTCATGACCGGTAACCTGGGACCTGGGTATTAAAATGATCAACAAAATCCTATAATGGTAACTTCGTATCACCAATTGCGTGAATAACCCTGTATACTCCATTTTACTTGAAATAAAAATTATTTTTTGTTACGGTTTCTACAAATAAAATAATATCTTCTCAGTGTTCATATTTCTTATATCCCAAACTTAAAAGACATGAAAGATCTGATTTCACAGTATAATTTGCCTTAAAAATGGTACTCAAAAACGTTTTTTGTATATGTTTTGCACCCAAAAAATTCTTCGAATTTTACTCACTCTGTACCTTCTCTCTAGTACTTTGTTTGATTTTGTATATCATAACAACCTCAAATGTTTGTAATTACAATTATTAATTCAATAGTTATATAATGTATTTTCATATATATTTTCAATCAATACATTGCATGTACGTATATAGAGTATAAGTACGCTTATAAATTTAACACGCACATAAAATTTTATCAAAAAAAATAATTGTAGCGATTAATGAGACCTTTCTTTTTTTCAAATAATAAAGACCTTCATTTGTTACTTATTTGTACATTGTTACGCTATCAAAGATAAACATAGTTGCACAAAATACGTATACGTGTGACTTCTAATTGCGAAATTATTAACATTCAATTTTGTAAATTGAGCTCAAAACGCTGGATTATAACTACTTTTACGATTTTGGAAAATCTAGTAGGCTAGAGTAAAAGAAATACCTTTAGGTTTTATTTAAATTTCGTAAAATAAGATCACTTCCGGTTAATAAGGGAGAAGTTAACTGCAATTCGTTGGCGAAGTCCTTGGAAAGACAACCTGCTTTCGTACTTCTTTTCCATCTAGACTTTCTCACTACTTCCTCAGTAACCCATTTTCTAAGATGAATCAGTCCCATATTACCCAGTAACGTCTAACCTTGATGATTTATTCGATATTCCGATTTTAGTCGAATTGCATGTTCTTTCCAAATAATAATCGATTTGACATTGTCATCATTTCGTTCTTCGAGACAAGTTTCCAAATTTGTCTCTGCTCAATTGCAAAATAAACATCTTTCGGTCTTCTCAATACTACATCTGCGTTTCCATGAAGCCGTCCTCTTTTGCGTTAAATAGTGAAGTTGTACTTTTGTAAAATTTGTAACCAACGAACTGTTTGGCCTTCTGTATTCTTATACTGAAATAACCATTTCTGGCTTTGACCTTGCTGAAGTATGTAAGTTATTATTCTTTCTGCTCCATTCTGAATTTGTAATATGACACCTCCGATTCCAGTATTGCTAGCGTCTGTATCGACTACGAGTTCCTCACCAGGCCATAGATAGACTAATATCGATAGTGAACATAGAGCTTCTTTCTTAAAAGTCTGCTGACATTTTGGGGCCCAATTGTAGAGTTCATCATTTTCAGTGAGTCAGTGTAATCATCTGGCAAAATCTGCAAATTCTCTAACAATTCTCTTGTAGTAGAAGCACAGACCTAGGAAGCTCCTTAACTGATGTTTGTCCTTTGAAACAGACCAGTTTCGTCCAGCTTCAGTTTTCTGCTGATCAGCCTTGACACCATAACTAAACTAAGTTATTCGACTCCTCTTTGAAAGAGGCTACACTTGCCGGGATTCAATTTTAGATTAGCTGTTTCAATTTTCTTTAAAACATCTTCGGTGTTCGTTGGGTGTTCTTCAAATGTATTGCCCAATGTAATGACATCATCCAAGTACACAAGACCGGTCTTCCAGGTAAATCCTTGAAATACAGTATTTTCTTTGTCCCTCGAATCGACTTCCACTTGCCAATAATCACTTTTGATATCCAAGGTAGAGAACCATTTCGCATTTGCCAAGGTGTCATCGGTTCCAAGTAATG